GGGAGGGGGCGAGGCGGAGGAAGGTAACCAGCAAAGACGCTCGGCGAGAGACAGTCACAGGTTGTGATTTCCAGCTTTCCGCCTGCCACCCTCCATCAGCTCAGCCCCAGCCGCGACGCCGGGGCTCTGCCTTGAAATTAGAAAGATATCCAGCAATTACCCATAAAACATTCATAAGGGCCGGTATCATCGCCTCCTCTGAGGGCTGTGACGGGCTGGGTCTTTGCTGCGGGTTTGCTAGCGAAAAAGAAAGCCTGCGGGCACATTTATTGGGCTTTGCTAATTAGGGAATGGTTTGCTGATTTCTCTGCTAATAAATTTGCGTTAAAACCATATTGACCTCTGCCTTGATCTAACAAAAGGGGAGAGAGGCCTCGGATACGCCTACCTCATTTTCTGCCCTTGTCACAGCGGACTCTGACAATTACCCAGCGTCTGTGCAGGGGCTAACGAAATTATACAGAGCAGCCCCTACTCAGGGCGACGCAGCCAGCCGATGCCTCTCTTATTAGGGCTTTCGAAATTAATCAGAGTGACCCCCATAAATTAGGCTGAGGATTGGGATGGGCTTGGTGCTCTCTACAGTAAACCTACCCGAGGGGACCGGAGAGTGGCTGAAAAAGAGCCAGAATGACTGGAAATTTGAAAAAAAATAAAAATAAAAAGCCCCAAGAACACTGTAAAATGATTTTCGTGTTTCTTCCCTCTCTCGGTCAGGCAAGAGCTGGCAGTGACTCCATCGGCTTGGTTTCTCCTTCGAGGTACAAACAACTCTGTAATTTTGCCCCCCGCCCCGCTGAAAGTAGCTGGAGTGTGGTAGCAAAAAACCCACCAAACTTTACGTTGAACAGCTTGTCCTGGCAGCTGAAGCCTTTTTCTCGAATCAAAAGGCATCACTTCTGTGTTGGAAATAGTTGGTTTGCTCCAGCAGCAAAGTTGTGGAAGTGTTTAGTTTTCAGCTTTTCTCGGACTTTCGTTTAAGGAGGCGGATTTTTCATGATTCTCTCCCCTTCGACATTCCACCGATACAAAATTAACATAGATTAGTTCAGTGGGGAATAGGGGATTTTATTTAAACCGATGGGTTTTAGAAAAAATGTTGTGTTGTATATGCCATTCTTAATTTAATTTAATGTAATTTAATTTCTTTCTTTTTTTAATGCCACTTGCGAAATGTATTTTTCAGGCCCAGTCGTGCTCCTACAGAGGAGTGTTAGACAAGCAGGATTTGAGAAGGGAGCTCCCCTTTTCCTTTCACTCTCCCAAGTGAGCCAGGAGCCCTATCTAAAGTTCGGTGCAAACTCTCCCACGGGTTGAGCAGCCCTTTCATTTGTCCTTGCCCCCCCCCGCTTTTTTTTTGGGGGGGGGGGTGGGCATTCTGAGAAAGGGAAACTCTCTTCCTGCGAGGCGCTGCCGCTTCTGGAGCTAATTAGACCGGGCTTTTCTTAGTAAAAAGTCCCGGCTAATGTTTAACATGCTACAGATGCGCACTTATTTAAATGCACTCTACCAGTATTAAAAATCCTGGCGCAATGTTGCAAACGTGCAAAGTTGCTGCTGTTGGTTGGTTTTTTTTGTTTGTTTTTTTTTTTGCTGTTGTTTGTTTGTTTCTGAGGGTTTTTAAAAATTGTTTTGGGTTTCATTTTTGTTGGTTTCCTAAAAGCACTGACTTGCTACGAGGCAGCAGAAGAGGGGCTGAACCGTGCTTTGCTCCAGCAAACGCACCCAGTACCCGTGTCAAGCCTGACGTTTGCTCCACCTCCCAAATTATCGAAGACCCGATGGGAAATGTAATTAACGTTTAAGCGGCTCCTGGTGGCATGTGGCTGCTTTTGCAGCCAAGTACCAGCGGGTTTGGCTGCAGCCGAACCGGGACCGCGGCCTCCCTCGAGAGAGTTTTCTGGATTCCCCAGTGTAGGTGCAACGCCCCCGCATCCCGCCGCCCTCGCCCTCGCCCGTTTAACCACGGGAACACCTTGGGGCAGAGGAGCCCCGGCCCTGCCCTTAGCGGCTCGCGGGGGTGCTAGCGAGTGTGTGGGCAGCTCCCTGCCCCCTCGGAGCTCATCTTTATCCCGTGGCCTCCCGCAGCACCAGGGAATCCTCTGCCCTTAGTTTACTGCGTACGCGTGTCCCCCCTCGCTGGCTCTCCCGGGCAGCCTGCAGAGGGATTCTCCAAGCC